GCTGTATGGGTACACTGGTCTACTTTATTGGTATAATTGTAATGGTACAATGTAATGCACAGCCTCAGACTTCATGCCAAATACATAACCTATTACAACACAATTCTCCTGAGATTTTCTATATTCTGGCATTTGAAAAAGAGGACCTGCTCCTTGCACCCGTGGCACTGAAGCCAAATTTTACTGGAGGGGAGACTTCCAGTCTTCATTAGATTCCAGAAAACTGTTCCCCAAGCATACAAAACCAACTCTGATCAGTGAAATAGTTACCTTGTGTAGATGTCCCCTGGCCTCCAGGGTCATTGTCCTCTCCAGCCTGCAAGTCTCTGCAGTCATTCCAAGACCTCTTCATATTATCAGGTATCACTGGGCCCCAGTTCAGAGAGGCCAATGGAGACGGAATTCTCCTCCCCATCCTGCTGGTCCCTCAACAGCCCATTTTCAAGTGTCTGGATGTTGTCCACCATTATCTCAGCCTTCATAGGTGTGCAATTGTTCAGACACAAAGCCGTACACCAGGATGTTACAGCTTACAGAGCCTGCCTAAGGTAGATATTTACAAGCACCTGGATCATTGCCTTAGGCCAGCTGGCAGCACGCTTATACAATGTTGTCTTCTTCTGAGACATATTCTAAGGTGGACTTGTTAACACACAGAAGTCGCAAAGAAGTCAATACTATTCATAAATAGTGCACACTGAGATCTAGAGGGTGTGCAGAGCTATTTGTATAAGTGAAGGATTTCAGAAATCTTGCCCTTGGACCAGAAGATGGACAAGCTAAGCTACAGAAGCAGCGCCCAATACACTGTGGATGGTCACAGAAGGACTAATTAGATCAGTGAAACTCTTATGCCAGTCACTGCTGTCTATGCTGGCACTGAACCTGCCAGTGCTGATCAACATGGTGACAGATGTCACTGTTGGTCTTTTCAGAGCAAGTACAGCACACCCGTGCAGATATATGGTATGTTTCAGGTTCCAACAGTTGTTGGAATGTCAAATTTCACTAATGTAGACAAGACCTAGATGTGACTGGGTAATTCACCTTGCAAATCTCTCTATGATGAATGTTAGCACAGGTACCAAATGATGTTCTCTTATAATGCAACATGGACTGGTATCCTCCACTCCTTTGACTTATGTCAAGCAACAACCATCAGATAATTGCTTTTTATCACTACAGACCTGCAAAAGATCTGAACTACAGACTAAGCATTAAGAGCCTCCATACTCCATTACCATTCCCCTTTTCCATTCCACATACAGATAACATACAATTTCCAAGGAGAAGAAAAGGATTTATTTTAAAAGTGTGTTTTAAAGGATACTATCAACTTGCATTTTTAAATGGAATAGTATTTGTAAAATTCCTGTCTGATAGAGTGTCCTTTAAACAGTATGCCCTGATTTTATTTTTAAAAGAAAATGTATAATATTTTTCTGCATCTCGCTGAGGCTTATAAAGGATCTTTACACAGAGGGAGAAAACGACTGATTATACAAGGAAAACAACAAAAGTGCTGTATGAAAAAAAAAAATAATCACTGAATACTAAAAAAAAACGTGAAAGACTTTCACCAGTATCTTTCAAATCATAGTAACAATGGGTATTACTTGAAAATTATGTACCTAGCATACTTTTAAACAGAAGTGTGAAGTCTAACAATGTCCCTTTAAGAAAGGTTCTTGATCTCTATAAGCAGGGTGCATGTAAACTATGGCACAATGGAACAAAATTTTGCAGGTAAGGCTCCTAAATTCTGGGGGAAGTTAATCTGTTCATCTTCTTACCTCCTCAGGCCTCAGCTGCTGCTGTATTCTCTAGGCAGCCTAACTGGCCAGCCTGCACTATTGGCTCCTTTCACTCCCTGGCTGCAAACTAAACCCAAGCTCTGGCTCCTTGGCACATACATTACCCAACCACCCTTGCCTGGTTCTATGAAACAGTACGGTAGCGCTATAATCCGTTTAATTCGCCTTTGTGGGAAAAGGTGCAGAGCAAGCAGCAGCTGTTGACATGTCCCAGCAGGGCAGGGAGACAACACAAAATGTTGGGTGCCCAGTAGCAGCAAAAGTGCTTGATTCTGTAGAATCTTAGAATCTAGCATTTTTCCACAGACACAATCAGAGTCCATGAGGTTCCAAATGAGAGGATTTGGGATGTTCACATCTCTTAGAAACATTGTTTCAGGTTCTTTGCAAACTCAGACAGGCATTGGGTTGCACAGTTCACATTCTCAAAGTTATCTTTGAAACTATAAGGGCTAGATTTTTTTTTTTTAATTAAAGTAAGAGTTGAGATTCTGGAGCACAATTCTGTGGGAAGGGCTGAATTCCATAGCAAATTCCACAGTGACAGAATCCATAAGGACCTACCCATAGGCTCAGCTTCTAAATGCTATCTTAGAATTACACTTTATCTAGTCTCTTATATAGAGTGATTAGATATTGTACACATTTGCATGGTCTGAGCATTCTAAATTTTCTCCATCCTTTTAAAAGAGGAACTATTTTTATTCTTTGGTTACTCTTCCCCTTTCCCAAGCTGTCTTTTAAACGCAATCTGCCTTTCCTGACTCCAATTCCCTTCCATGGCAATCTGGATGCTGCATCAGCTTGGTTGTGCTGACTTCCTCTGAGGCCAGGCCTACACTTAAAAGTTAGGTCAACACAGCTACGTTATGAGGGGTGGGGGGAAAAAAACCACATCCCTGACCAATCTAGTTATGCTGACCTAATATCCAGTGTAGACACTGCTATTCTGAAGGAAGAAGACTTCTGTTGATGTAGCTACCACTGTTTGGGGGAAATGGTATTCCTACACCAAACAAACAAACAGTCTTCCATCCGCGTAGACTGCATCTACATGGCAATTAAAAAAAAAAAAAAATTGTGGGCTGGCCCATGCCAGATGACTTGGGCTCACAGGGCTCAGGCTGTAGAGCTGTTTAACTGTGGTGTAGACATTTGGGCTTGGGCTGGAGCCTAGGCTCTAGGACCCTGTAAGGTGGGAGGGTCCCAGAGCCCTAGACTGCAGCCCAAGCCCAAACATCTATACTGCAATTAAACAGCCCTACAGCCCAAGCCCTGCAAGCCCCAGTCAGTTGGCACAGGCTAGCAGCAGGTGTCTAACTGCAGTGTAGACATACCAACGTAAGGGGTTATCCTGGTATAGTCTCCATTGTGTAGTCATATCTTGATATCCAGAATTCTTCCTATTCTCACACCCTACTACTGCTGGCCTGAGAAGTAGGAGGCTAGGCTTCAATTCTAAAACTCACATTTCACTGCTGGCACTTTTCTAATTGGACTCCCCAAGCCTTTCCTACTCACTTCAGACTATGCTAAGAAAATTGAGGCAAATGAGTTTTAGCACAAAGCTTTCATCTTTTAAATGCTGAAGTCAGGAAGAAAAAAGTGGAAGGGAGGGTATACAAGCGTGTCTCTCCCTCCATCCCAGTTTTGGTCCCAATAATCCTAAAGTCAAGAGAGCCAGACCACTGCCAATTCTTTCAGCCAGAGATCCATGTGGTCTCTCTACCCAGCAAGAATATTCTGAAGGGCTTGCTCCTCAGTGGGACTCTTACTACATTAGCTAAAACTTATTTTAGTAAAGCAGAGTAACAACATTGGTAATTTAAGCAAGAAACGTTATCACTGATCTCTCTTTTAAAGGACATTCCAAAAACAACTACAGATTTCATTACAGTCGGAATAGAAGACTGCGTGTGTTCAGTTTGTGATGTTATAGCACTGGGATTCCTCAGGAACCCAACATTCATTTGAAGCAATTATTCTTTCAAGTATTTTTTTAAAGCACATATTTCTACATAGAGCATTTCAGTTTAGTAACAGCAGATTTAAGAAAGAATGTGATTGGAGGTGTCTGACACTAGCATTTCTTCAGTGTTTACTAAAATTAAGTTTGCGTTTGGGATTTTAGTAAGCCTACATCTGAAAATCCTGCATATCTCAGAGTCCAATATCAGGTATAATTTAAATTTTTGAAAAAAATCCTTTACAACCTCTGAGGCCTGGTCTACACACCTAAAGTGTAGGTTGACACAGCTATGACACCCAAGGTTGTGAAAAAATCTACACCTCCTGAGAACCATAGCTATGCCAACCCAATCCCGGGTGCAGACACAGCGAGGTCAAGGAAAGAATGCTTCTGTTGACCTTGTGAGAGGAAATTGCTTGGGAAATTGGTGTTCCTACAGCAAAAAAAGTCTACCTTTGGTAGCTATGCCACTGTAGTGCCTGGAGTATAGACAAGGCCTAATCCTAACCTCAACATACTTCAAATACTGCTATACACTGTTTTGGATTCATTTATCAGTTGGTTTTGCCACTGCTAGATCAGCCAGGGTGAGGGAAATAATTATAACATTTACCTAAGCACAATTTGAAATAGATTTTTTCCTAATGCAAACAAATCTCCAATAAAGATAATGACAAGTGTCTAGATTATGATACCTACACCTTCCTCCAGCAATTTTCTCCCTGCTGCCTCTCACACAGACACCTCCTCTCCCATGGCTCATTTTATAGAGCCAGGACAGAAGGTACAATGTCTCTCCTTCTGAAGATGGAAGATTTTGCTCCCTGTTGTTTCAAGGGAAGAATATTTTTGGACATTTAAATTGCCAAATTACATCTCTATGTCTCCACTAAGGAAAAGGTGTGTTTATAATGTGCCAACTAACAATCCTAGTGTAGACAGGGCAAGTTGCACATTTACTTTATCCTGCCCACACTAGGTTTTTACAACACGTTAAAGAAAGAAGCTTTTTTGCTCAAACGCTGTAGACAGACCCACCCTCAGATACTGATTCTCACATAGGTGGTCACTAACCATCACATAACCTGGGGACTGCCAGAGACGTCTCACATGCACACAGGGGTTCGCGTGTAGTGGCGGGGCGCAGCGAGGAGGGGGGTGGCAGTAGCGAGGAAGGGGCACGGCGGAAAAGGGCGGGGGGGAGCTTCCCCGCTCACCTGTCTTGAACACCAGCTGCTTGTCGTCCTGCGAGCCGAACTCTCTCAGCATGGAGACGAAGAGGACGCCGCACGAGTTCTGGATGCCGAACACCGCACCGTTGCACCACATGGCGGCCAGCATCACCACCCAGCCCCAGCCGCCCTCAGGGGGCTCGGCCCCCTGCTGCCCCTCCGGGGGACCCGCCATCAGCAGAGCGGACTGGCCGCCTGGACACCCCTCTAGGTTCTCTTGCCTCGGCTCCCCGGCCGCCGCCTGGGCGCCCTGCTGCTCCCGCAGCGCCGGGCAGGGCAAGAGGGTAGCAGAAGCGTCGGGAGCGCCCCCAACTCCCTGCGTCTCCAGCTTCTCACTCAGCGTCATCCCCGCGGGCTCCCTCAGCCGCACGCAGCCGGGGCGAGGGGACAGGCGACAGCCCCCGTCCCACGAGAAGGGGCAGCGGCGGCTTCTCTCCGGCTGCCTGAAGGGGCTGCTGCGCTCCCGCTAGCCCAGCAGGGCGGCTGGGAACATCCCGCGGCGCCTAGCGGGAAGCCCCTTTCTTACTGTGCAGCCCCGGCGGTACGAAGCCTCTCCCTGCCCCGTCCCCTCACACACGCCGACCCCTGGCTCGCCAGGTTATTTTGAAGGGGCACCTCTCGGGGGAGGGGGTGTCCGACAGCAGGATATCCCCCCCCTACCGCGTCTCCGATTGGATGGGGCAGGGGCGCAGTCACGCCCCCTCCCAGGACACGGTGGGGGCGGGGCCGCTGCGTGTCACAGGCTCCGGCGGCGGCTGTGCTGAGTGGCCGGGGCGGGGGTGTGCGCGCGGCGAGATGGGGAGTTGGGAGTTAACGGTTGCGCTCGCGCGCAGCAAGAGGGAGCCACGAGGCCTTTCCCCCACCCCCGCGAGGAGGCGCTGGATTCACCTCAGGGTGGGAGGGAGAAATCAGGCCAGCAGCCTAACAGGAGGGAGGCTACTCGGCCCCCCCATGAATTCCCAGGGTCAAGGATGCACCGCCCCTGGGCCGGGAAAATCGCAGCAACAACGCCACGGACACGGCCCCCTTAACACTAACCCAACAACTCCCCTCAGAAAATCAGGAAGTGCCACAGCTGCCTCTGTGACCATGCACGTGCTTCGCTCTGACCCTCCCTCTTGTCCCCAGGAGTTGTATCTCTGCCCGCCATGCTGCTTCCCATCCTCTCTAACTCTGCCTCCCTAGCCTTTCCTACCAGATTCCCGCCTCCTTCACGGCACAGGACAGAGGGCAAATGAGGCATTTCCCTCTCTGTTAAAGAGCAGGGCTATGACTCCTCACTACGGTCAGCCACACTGTAGGCACTACTGCCACAATACGCTGCGTGGCTGCTGCCTCTGTACTGCAGGGTGCTATACCACCTGCTGCCCACAAGAAAGGAACTGCTAGCACTGTTTCACGCCCCTCTTTGGCAGGTGCCGCGGCTTCCTTGACCTACAATGACAGCTGGCACTTTTCCCTAGTCTGGGGCTGGCCACAGCAAGGCCATCTGCCCCTGCTCTTATGTAAAATGTTGTGACATCACACATGGCATGCAATATTTCTCCTTAGTGCAAACGTGTCACTATTTCCTACACAGGGAATTTTCCTACACCTCACTTCCCTCACCCACCTTCCTCCCAGGAAGGGTTGGGGGCAAAAAGAGCAGAAGCCTGCACCTCACAAGAAGGTGGCAGGGCATGGAAGTCAGCGTGGTGAGGGTCAGGAGAGCTAGTGCTGGGGAGAGTTTGGGCTGGAGAGGATGTGAAGTTGCTTGGAGGGGGTTGATGGATTGAACCTGGGGAGGGTTTCTTCTGGGAGGTTAGGAGAACACAGAGTGGCTTCCCCTACTTAAGCCCTATCCCCTTTTGTTTTTCCCTGAATCCCTGTCATCCTCTGCTGCCAGTTCTGCTCCCCACACTCTTACCTATGGCAGGTCTACATTTAAAATGCCGCATTGGTGCCGCTGCAGCACTTAAGTAAAGATGCTCTCCTGTCAGTGTAGTTAATTCACCTTCATGAGAGACACTAGTTATGTCGACTGGAGAAGGTCTCCCACCAACATAGCCCTATCTATACAGGGGGTTAAGGTCAGTATAGCTACATCGCTCAGGGGTGTGGATTTTTTGCACCCCTAAGCAGCATAGTTATGCATATTTAAGTCTAGTGTAGACCTGGCCCTAGTTTTTATCCTCCATCCTCTGCTCCTACCTGCTTAACCCAGTCTCTCTTCCCTCCTTCTTGCCCTGGACCTTCTTCTCTCACTAACCTCCCTTGCTGGTGGGAGCTGGAGCAGCTGGCTGCAGATGCCTCTGTTAGTTGCTGAATAAAGAGCTGCTAGTGGATGCCATTTGCAGCACGCGGTAAATTTTATCGGTCCTACAACACCCAAGAACTATTGTATGTATTCTTGAGCACCATCCACTGGCACCTTAACTATTTACATATCTACAGATATTGAGCACTCCTGCATCAGCCTGTGGCTCCTCTTTCCAACTGCTGCATGCACAGTTGCCAACTTTCATGCGGTAAATAACCATCCCAACTTTCACAATAAGCCAAAAATCAAGGTAATCCCATTTCAAAACAAGCCAATCCCTAAGAACCCGAACATTCTATGTGACTAGATCCCCCCAGCGTGCAGTCTGGGACTGTGGTGGGCCCGCTATGCACCCCGACTCTCTCACCCCCCTTTGCCCCAGCTTGCCCCCCCTTGCTGGGAGCCGATAAAAAAAAAGAAGCAACAAGCTCCAAGCCAAACAAGCAACAAGCCAAAAACTAGCCCAATTTCTCCATTTTTTTCATGGGTTTGGCATGTCTGGTTGCATGCTGGCTTGGATTCAGCAGAAGGAGCAGCACCAGTGGAAGAGGCAGCATTTTGCTGCCTGCAGTTCCTCTGTCACAGTGACCACTAATGGCCCATAGAAAAAAATGCTGAAAATTCTATAGCGTGACATTTGAGGGGGTCTGTAGTGAGACATGACCGGGCTGCCAAATGCATAGTTTCATGCAAGATGTGTGATAATTAGCAGGCCTGAAGCCCTACCAGGAGGCCTAGCAGCAAGTAGGCTGCTGGCAGCAAAGGGGGCAAGTGCAGAGCAGGGAATACAGGCTTCTGTGATGGTAATTCAAATTAGACCCTTCAAAACAGATTATAACCCCTGCAATATTCCCAGCTTCATCCAGCCAGTCTGTGTCTGCTGCCTCAGCTCCTTGTTCTCTAGGCAAAACATGGATGGGAGGAAGAGAAGTGACTCTGAACTATGGGAGGCTTGGTAAGAGGGAGTGGGGTCCAGGTGTGAGGGAAGGGTTCTTCTGAGTCTGATTTTGGGAAGAGGGGTCAGGAGATTTCAGACTCTAAAGGCAGCGGATTCAGGTGGAAGAGAAAGGGTTCTGATCCTGGGGAATGATTTCCCAAATCTCAAGGTTGGGTGGAAGCAGGAAGGGTTCTGAGCCTGGAGTGGGTTGCTGGTCAAGAGCAAGAGGTTTTGGGGGGCATCTGTCCCAGAAAGTGTACACGTTGGGTTGACAGGGTTTTGCATGAGTGGAGGGAATTGAGGTTGTAAGTGAATTGAGGTATGGAGAAGATAGAGAAGTAACTGAGACTGGGAAAGAACAATAAAGAAATCCTAGAAAGATATGTACTCTTTTCTCCAACCCTGCCCTTTAAAGTAAAGTGTCCTAATTTTTCCATTTTGAAAAGGATGAATGTAGTTGACCACGAAGAGTGCTTTTCTTCCTCCCCTTCATGCCAACTTCTCTCTTCCCCCACCAAAACCCTGTGGATACTGATAGTTGACATCTTGAGAGCCACACTGATGTCCTGTTTTTTAAACTTTGAAAATCTGAAAAACCTGTAGCAGGAAGGATAGGGACAAATTTAAAGTTTCTACTGAAAAAACTACTGCAGGCTTAAAGCTGTTCAAAATAATTCATAATACAAAAGGGGCACCTGCATTATGTCTTTCTATACAAGCTGTTTAACAACATCCCTTCTAAAAAAATTCACTCAAACATAACATAATTTGGCTCTGAATAGATGAGGCAGGGACAAGTAGAGCATTTTGAAATCCTCCTTTTGGATCAAATTATAGCCTTATTTCCCCCATTTATTTGAATTCAGTTTTGGGTTGCACATGAGTGAGGACAGAATTCTAGATTGGCCTTTAAACTGACTGATTATATAGGCTCTGTTCCACAAACCATTTAAACATATGCCTAACCTTAAGCATGTGGGTAGTCAGACTACCCATGTAATTTAAGTGTTTTGCTGAAATGGGGCCATGAACTGAATTCTCCGTGTTCAGTTTAAATTGGGGCAAGGACCACAACACATTCTTCTATTTTTGGACAGTGCTCAAATAAAATAATTCATTTTCCAAGCTTTCTTCACATGAATATCAAATACATTTGTCTGGTTATATTTTGGTGTTTCATATTTCTGTTCTCTTAAACAATGTCATTGGCTACACCCATATTTTTCTCTAAAAAGAAATTATAAATATTTTCCATATTAGGCCTTTTAAAACCCTGTGTGTGTGATTTTTACTTTGGTTAGTTATTTTAATAACTGATATTTTCAAGTGGTTAGGTAAATTTGTTCTTCTGATTAATATCAAATAACTTGCTTTCCCTTCCTCACTATATTATGGTGGTTATCAAATGTGATTTTCCAAAAGCAAGATTCTGTTAACTAAAGAAGAGCTGCTGAGATTAACAATGTAACATCATTTTAACGTGTATATTAGAAAACTACATATTAAAAGCATGATCAAGATACGAAAAATATACCTTTCTAATAATTTGTATTGTTCAACCCTGCAATCCTCTATACCTTACTGGGCTGCTGCTATTTGTCTTAGTCTAAAATACTGCATAATTTATATTGTCAGAAGTTAGAATATACAGGCCCTTCCTTAAAATCTGACACAAAGTCATTCTAGAAGTAGTAATGTGATCTATGTGGCAACTTTGTACCAGTAGCACAATGTACGCAAGAGCAACTATCAATAACTAAGTCTCCTTTCTTCCAAGTCTGAGGATCTCAGGTATTTCTCTAGCAGTCCCAAGTTGGTGAAAAGTGGTCCTCTCTTTGCTCTTCTAGAATTAGACTATTCTTAGTCATTAACTTCAGCTGAAAATTTACTCTGCAGGCTGAGTTTTGACAGGTTTGATCTCAGTCATTTTTAAGCTTTTTGTAATTCCGATAACTCAAAATAAAAATATTGGCATTTCAGTTGATTTTCTTGCTATCAAAAAGGCATTTTTTTCCAAGAGTGAAAATGAATGAGATTATTCAGACAAGACAGGAATGGGGAAAGGCCAGCCTTGTTGGAGACTTGGAGCTAATGGTTAATCCAGCCCAAGTAGCAGGTAGAAAGAGGAATTTAAATCTGAACAAAAACCATTACAAAGAACAGCCTTAAGTAGTAGGGGCAGAGGCAACTACCTTGTCTACAAAAGAAAATTGTACTGATTTAACTAAATCTGTTTTAACAGTTAGAATTTAAAAGGAGTTAAAATAATTTAGAACCATTTTAG